TTATAATAAGAGAGCCACAAATATACCCAAATATAAATTATAAAAAAAAAATAAAAATTACAATGAAAATCTAATATAAATTTATAAAATTATATTTTAACAATTTTATTTAACTACTTTATCTTGTTGATATCCTAGATCCTTCATTAGCCCATATCACGCGCTCATCTCTAGCTATTAGCCAACTCAAATGCTGATGCGCTACACACCGGCAATGCTTAAATGGCTAATGAATTGTGCGCGCTTTGCCAGCAATATAAATCTTAGAGAGAGACTCGGACTCGGACTGTGAAAAAAAGTGTGTGAAATGCATTCAGAATTGGATTGGACATAAATGAAGGTTGACTTTATTGCTGCAGCAGCAGTAATTGTTGCAAGTTGTTGTTGTTGTTGTCGCCATGCAAATTGGGCTCACGTTTTGCGCATTAAGCTGCCGCAGCAGCAGCGGCAATTGCAGCAAATGATTGAGTTCTCCGCACCTGGTGGCAATTGCCAGCATATCTCTAATATTGGTCAAATAAAGGTGGGGTGCGGCTGGTTGGGGCGGGGGGTGCCACTTTTTGCTAATTGGCTCGACCCGAACGCAGCTCAATTAGCCAAATAATGGACAAACATGAATAGCTTAGCCGGCTGATGGAACAGCTTTTGATCTTAACAGCAAAAATATTTACCGTAACGCACAGATTAAAAGGCAAGTTGCAGTTGCAGTTGTTGTTGTTGTTGTTGCTGCTGTTGTTGCTGCTGTTGCTGCTGCAGTTGCAGTTGCAGTTGCAATTGCATTTTGCTATCAGTATCAATAGTAATTTCAAGTTTCACTCGCCACAAAACTTGACAGGCGGCCCAGCTTTGGGGGCATGGCCAACCAACTGGGACTCTCTGCTGCACATGCCAGTGTCGTAGGTCAGGCCAGGCAGGCAAGCCAAGCCAATGCAAGTCAAGCAGACAGAGGCAGTCAAACAGCAGCAGCAGCAGCAGGCAGCAGCAGCAGCAGTCCACAAAATGTGTCTGCGATTGCGGCTGTTTTTCAACTGCAATTTGTGGCCCAGGATTTGGCATGTCGATGCAGTTGCAACGGCAACAACAACAACAACAACAACAACAACGATGACGATTTGTAGCCAATTATTTCAAATATTGTATTGAAATTGTATGGCAGAGTGTGTGGCTATCTCTAGCCAAGCATCTTGTGTACAAGGCGCACGTAGTTCGCTTCGAGTGTGTCAAAGTGGCCACTCGAAGTCAACGGCGACGGCGACGGCGACTGAGGCTGTGACTGCGGCTGCTGCTGCTGCTGCTGGCCCATGGTCAGCATTTGACATTGCAGAGGTTAGAATCATAGACACTTCCCATGCCTGATGCGCAATTCTCATATTTATATATATATACATATAAATATGTACATATATACGCTATGATTAATCATCAGCCAATCATAGTTCTTGTTGTTGTTCGGTCACGTCAACTTTCGACTTCATCAAGCAGAATGGAGACGCACGCGCCCGTTGACCTTTGCCGGCAGCAGGTGCAACAGTATATTTATATTTAGCAGCGCTTGCATCACAACTGGGATTTGTCATTACCCAGAAGAACAAAAGAAAATGTAGAAATATAAATGAAATAAAGAAAAACGTGATAAAGTCAATTTATGGCTTAAGCGTTGCTCAAGCATAAACAAAGCTATAAATTTAATAATTAAA